TATTCTGGGTCAACTCCTGTGTTCGCGTCATCTGCATAGAGTTGTTTATATCCCACTTCGGGGTTTGTATAAAACTCTTTCCATCTCATATTTGCATACCATGGTGGTAAGCCTAACGCAGCGTCATTTGACATGGCAGTTTGCATTTGTACATCTGTTGGCACTTGACCATAGTTTGCCATTGCAGTTTGTATTCTAACTTCATTTGGAATATTCTCTGGGTTTGGTTGTCCAGGTTGCTGTGCATTTGCTAAGTTCTGTGCGTCCATTTAATATTAGATAAAAATATCTCTTACGAGTACATATACTGAACATTTGCAGCATTGGTTCATCTTCATATTCTCTGTACTTTTCTGCCACGTCAAATAAATAAATGACACAATGGAAAAAACCTAAAACAAGTAGTCCTATTTCAAACCACATTTACTTACTAGTAAAATTTCTTTGTTATGACACTTTCTCCAGTTTATAGGACCTCTCTCATATTCTATCTTATCGTATCTAAACTCATAGTCATGTATGTCCTCTAACCATCTCATGACACTTTCCAAACCACTTTTATCGGATGTAAAGTAAAAGCATGGATGGTTATGTAAAACGTCTAAAGTTTCTAAAGAGTCTCTCAAAGTCCAGTCTACTTGGTATTGAAAATCCCATGTGTTATAGAACGGCGGGTCTACTATAAAGAAAACATTTTCCTTGTCTTTATATTTTTCATACAACTCTGTCCAATGACATCTCACAAACTCTATACCCTCAATATATTTTTCTATGTCCTCTTTGAAAACATTTGTATAGTTAAGATATAAAACTTTTGACATAAGTGTTTCAATGTCATGAACTCTTATAGCACCACTATATAATAGTCTAGCAGATATACTATCCCAGTCTATATATCTCTGCTTTTTTCAAAACCTCTCTGACAGTATTTTTCTTATCTAATGGTATACGTTCCATCTTACCTATAGGTATCTTTTCTTTCAACTCACTCAATATTTTGTTTGTGTCTGGTATATGTTTGAGACGGTTCATATAGTTGTCGAAGTCATTGCATATAATCTTTGAGTCAGGAAATATTGTATGGCACAAATGAGATATATAGAAACTTCCACCGAACAAGTCTACAAATGTTAGACCATTCGGTAGTTTCTTAAGTTCTCTCAATAGAATATCTTTACATCTACTCTTATTTCCAAAGAAGGGTAACGGTGGTTTTGTAAAATTCATTTATATATAATAATAAAAATGTTTTTCCCTGAAAAGTGACAGATGTTTTGTTGTGACTTCTTCGTAAAGACTTTGTTGAGATTTCTTCATAAATGTTTTGTCAAGACTTCTTCATCGTAATGAGCGTAAATGACCCAAAAATATATTTTATGTTAGAATGTTAGATCTAACATGTTTTCTAACATGTTTTCTAACATGGTCTAAAACATACAAAACTCATGAAATTTCATACGGAATTCAATAAAAATAATGTTTATGTTAGAATGTTAGATCTAACATGTTTTCTAACATGTTTTCTAACCTCATGAATTTTCATGAACTTTCTTGACAAAGTCTTTACGATGAAGAACTTTACAAAGTCTCAACAAAACATTGACAAGAAAGTTCATGAGAAAGTCTTGACAAAACATTTACGATGAAGAAGTCTTGACAAAACATTTACGATGAAATCATGAGTTTTCAACGATGTTAGAAAACATGTTAGAAAACATGTTAGATCTAACATTCTAACATAAAATATATTTTTGTCTGATTTTACGATGAAGAAGTCTTGACAAAACATTTACGATGAAGAAGTCTTGACAAAACATTTACGATGAAATCATGAGTTTTCAACGATGTTAGAAAACATGTTAGAAAACATGTTAGATCTAACATTCTAACATAAAATATATTTTTGTCTGATTTTACGATGAAGAAGTCTTGACAAAACATTTACGAAGAAGTCTTGACAAAGTCTTTACGATGAAATCATGAGTTTTCAACGATGTTAGAAAACATGTTAGAAAACATGTTAGATCTAACATTCTAACATAAAATATATTTTTGTCTGATTTTACGATGAAGAAGTCTTGACAAAACATTTACGAAGAAGTCTTGACAAAGTCTTTACGATGAAATCATGAGTTTTCAACGATGTTAGAAAACATGTTAGAAAACATGTTAGATCTAACATTCTAACATAAAATATATTTTTGTCTGATTTTACGATGAAGAAGTCTTGACAAAACATTTACGATGAAGAAGTCTTGACAAAACATTTACGAAGAAGTCTTGACAAAACATTTACGAAGAAGTCTTGACAAAACATCCTCAGGGCTAGAAGGCACGAAGTGCCTGGGAGCCCCACTACCTTTTTTTTTTTTTTTTTTTTTTTTTTTTTTACTACCGTATATTATTTTTTAAGCTATCTTATTTTTTGAAATTTTATTTAAATCTTTGGTCGCAAGAAGAATTGCATGATAAATAAAAACATTTAATCAAAGTCAATTTTATTTTTCATATTCAAATGGACTGAGTGTTAACATTTAACATTTTTTGCTAATTGTCGTCAAAAATTAGGCGTAAAGCAAAAATTGATATTTCATATGGTTTTATGATAGATAAGCATTATATTCCCACTCATTATATTCGTAAATTTTGAGGTTTATCCTTCGCTTTTAAGATCATTGAATTTGATTTTTATATAAAATAGTTATATATTAGAAAATAATATGAGTTTATGTGATATTATTTTTCAGAAGATTTTGTGTTCTTCTTCAAAATTCTATTTTTTTATTAAAAAGAATCTTTACAAAATATACATTTACTTTAATGAATATTTAAAAACGTGCTCTATCAAAAGTTCCAAAAATTCAATATTTTAGCTTTTCTGAGGTGTCACTTTTGATGAATTTCTGTTTACAACAGAATCTTCGATTTAATTGATTTAGAATGGTTAAATCAAGCTAATCAACAAATTCAAAGCGGTATTAACGTCGAAACCGTTCTCCAAAATGTCCCTTTAACAGATGGAAGGTATACATTATGAATATATACCTCTTACCCTTCCATTCCCTCTCTGACAGCGGGAAACTTTGTCTGAATGTTAAACTATTCAGACAAAGTTTCCCGCTGTTTGCGAAGGAATTGTTGGCTATGATGTACTGATTCATGATCAGTACATCATAGCCAACAATTCCTTATACAAAGTTCAAAAACTTGGGTGCAATCAGAACTGATTGCACCCAAGTTTTTGAACTTTCTCGAGGGAATGAAAGGGTACGAGGTATACATTATGAATATATACCTCTTACCCTTCCATTCCTCTCTGACAGCGGGAAACTTTGTCTGAATGTTAAACTATTCAGACAAAGTTTCCCGCTGTTTGCGAAGGAATTGTTGGCTATGATGTACTGATTCATGATCAGTGCATCATAGCCAACAATTCCTTATACAAAGTTCAAAAACTTGGGTGCAATCAGTTCTGATTGCACCCAAGTTTTTGAACTTTCTCGAGGGAATGAAAGGGTAAGAGGTATACATTATGAATATATACCTCTTACCCTTCCATTCCCTCTCTGACAGCGGGAAACTTTGTCTGAATGTTAAACTATTCAGACAAAGTTTCCCGCTGTTTGCGAAGGAATTGTTGGCTATGATGTACTGATTCATGATCAGTGCATCATAGCCAACAATTCCTTATACAAAGTTCAAAAACTTGGGTGCAATCAGTTCTGATTGCACCCAAGTTTTTGAACTTTCTCGAGGGAATGAAAGGGTAAGAGGTATACATTATGAATATATACCTCTTACCCTTCCATTCCCTCTCTGACAGCGGGAAACTTTGTCTGAATGTTAAACTATTCAGACAAAGTTTCCCGCTGTTTGCGAAGGAATTGTTGGCTATGATGTACTGATTCATGATCAGTGCATCATAGCCAACAATTCCTTATACAAAGTTCAAAAACTTGGGTGCAATCAGTTCTGATTGCACCCAAGTTTTTGAACTTTCTCGAGGGAATGAAAGGGTAAGAGGTATACATTATGAATATATACCTCTTACCCTTCCATTCCCTCTCTGACAGCGGGAAACTTTGTCTGAATGTTAAACTATTCAGACAAAGTTTCCCGCTGTTTGCGAAGGAATTGTTGGCTATGATGTACTGATTCATGATCAGTGCATCATAGCCAACAATTCCTTATACAAAGTTCAAAAACTTGGGTGCAATCAGTTCTGATTGCACCCAAGTTTTTGAACTTTCTCGAGGGAATGAAAGGGTAAGAGGTATACATTATGAATATATACCTCTTACCCTTCCATTCCCTCTCTGACAGCGGGAAACTTTGTCTGAATGTTAAACTATTCAGACAAAGTTTCCCGCTGTTTGCGAAGGAATTGTTGGCTATGATGTACTGATTCATGATCAGTGCATCATAGCCAACAATTCCTTATACAAAGTTCAAAAACTTGGGTGCAATCAGTTCTGATTGCACCCAAGTTTTGAACTTTCTCGAGGGAATGAAAGGGTAAGAGGTATACATTATGAATATATACCTCTTACCCTTCCATTCCCTCTCTGACAGCGGGAAACTTTGTCTGAATGTTAAACTATTCAGACAAAGTTTCCCGCTGTTTGCGAAGGAATTGTTGGCTATGATGTACTGATTCATGATCAGTGCATCATAGCCAACAATTCCTTATACAAAGTTCAAAAACTTGGGTGCAATCAGTTCTGATTGCACCCAAGTTTTTGAACTTTCTCGAGGGAATGAAAGGTAAGAGATATCCATTTCCTTTCACCTTCGTTCTCAATAATTAACTTATAAATTTTTTAAAGCAAAAAAAGTCTGATTTTTTTTGACAAGTAAATATATAGGGAATTTATCCGACCAAATAAGTGTCACTTTTCGGTTCACCTCACTTTCCGTAACTCGTCTTACAACATGATCAAGAGAGGAAGTACTTTGAAGAAGAGAGGAATCACTTTGTTGAAGAGAGGAAGCACTTTGATTTAGAGAGGAAGCTGCATGATGAAGAGAGGAAGCACTTTGTTGAAGAGAGGAAGCTGCATGATGTAGAGAGGAAGCTGCATGATGAAGAGAGGAAGCACTTTGTTGAAGAGAGGAAGCATCTTGATGAAGAGAGGAAGCATCTTGATCAAGAGAGGAAGCTGCATGATGGAGTGAGGAAGCATCTTGATCAAGAGAGGAAGTACTTTGAAGAAGAGAGGAATCACTTTGTTGAAGAGAGGAAGCATCTTGATGAAGAGAGGAAGCATCTTGATGAAGAGAGGAAGCACCTTGATCAAGAGAGGAAGCATCTTGATCAAGAGAGGAAGCTGCATGATGAAGAGAGGAAGCACTTTGTTGAAGAGAGGAAGCATCTTGATGAAGAGAGGAAGCATCTTGATCAAGAGAGGAAGCTGCATGATGGAGTGAGGAAGCATCTTGATCAAGAGAGGAAGTACTTTGAAGAAGAGAGGAATCACTTTGTTGAAGAGAGGAAGCATCTTGATGAAGAGAAGAAGCATCTTGATCAAGAGAGGAAGTACTTTGAAGAAGAGAGGAATCACTTTGTTGAAGAGAGGAAGCATCTTGATGAAGAGAAGAAGCATCTTGATCAAGAGAGGAAGCACCTTGATGAAGAGAGGAAGCTGCATGATGGATGCATGATGGAGTGAGGAAGCATCTTGATGAAGAGAGGAAGCGTAAGAACCGATAACATTTACAAAATATTAAATTTATTTTGTAAATTTTCCAAAAGCCTTAGTACCAATATAATATAAATGCTCCAAAAATACCATCCCTCCTTCCAAAAGCGTAAGAACCGATAACATTTACAAAATATTAAATTTATTTTGTAAATTTTCCAAAAGCCTTAGTACCAATATAATATAAATGCACTAAAAACCCAACTGCCAATAGCATGTATTCAAAAAATGCAATTCAATACAAATTTGATTGCATTTTTTGAGATGGAAGTGTATCTGAATTCACAATTGTAATCCACGAATACACTTCCATCTCATTGATAAGAGGCTAATGTTTTTCTCATTAATAAGGCGCTGTTGGCCTCTATCCATAGCCGAAGTGATATTAACGTATGTTAACGTACAAAGTAAAAACATGCTTTTTCTTTTTAAAATCATTTAGTAATTAATAATATTTAGCACTCATAGTAAAAATGTTGCATGCTAAGTTCGGTCAAAATGTAAACCTCTCAATTTTATCGTCGGGGGAAGTAACTCAATTCCTTCAAAATTATTCTTTAAATATTGAATTTAAAGTTATTTAATTTGGATTATAAATAAATAGGCTAATACAATATTTAAAAATGAGAAAAAATAACTTTTCAAAGAACTTTTCATAATCTCAAAGAAAATTTTTTATTCAATAATTATATAAATTAATTAACATTCATAATGAAATTGGATTTTTTTTATAAAAAATTGGTCCTACTTAACTTTTTGAGAGAATTTGGCTTACTCGTAAACGAAAAAGGGGATTTGACGGAGTCAAATCCCCGCTCACAAAAAGTGGACTTTACATGTCAAATTTTATATGCATGTAATGTCCACTTTTATGAGTTTTAGGAAGGAATTGGAAGCCATGAGTTACTGACATTGCATCAGTATCTCATAGCCTCCAATTCCTTCAAAAAATGGGAGAAACTTTGTCCGAATAGTTTAACATTCGGACAAAGTTTCTCCCATTTTAAGAAGGAATTGGAGGGTAAGAGATATACCATATGAATGTATATCTCTTACCCTCCAATTCCTTCTAGAAAGTGTCCAAACTTTGGGTTAATTGCAAAGTATTAACCCAAAGTTTGGACACTTTCAAGTGGAGATGGAAGGCTTTGGGGTATATATTAATACAATATACCTCAAAGCCTTCCATCTCCACTACAAATGTGAGAAACTTTGTCCGAATAGTTTAACATTCGGACAAAGTTTCTCCCATCTTTCAATGTAATTGCTACCTGTGAGGTACTGACTTGAAGTCAGTGCTTCACAGGTAGCAATATCCAAAAATTTAAAAACATTTTATCAGTTCGTTAGAGAACTAGAGCCTCCTAGGTACTGAACCAGAATCAGTGCCTAGGGGACTCTAGTGATCTATATAAATCTGAGAAACTTTGAGGAAATTGTTCGACATTTCCTCAAAGTTTCTCAGCAATTTAGCGAGGAATGTTCGTTATCGTGTAGATATTTATAATATATACATGATAACAAACATTCCCCGCTAAAAGATGTAAAATCTTATAAGAAATAATTGCAAAAGAATAACAAATTGCAACAAATTTTATATGAAACTGAACCTTATGAGGTAGTGATTCAAGATCACCGCCTCATAAGATTCAGTTTCAATCTCAAGTATCTCAAAAGTAAGGCTCTATTTTTTGCCATGTAAAGTGTCACTTTTTGTCCAAATGATAAGTTATTCAGAGAAAGTTTCCCAGCTATCAAGAGGGAATTGTTCCTTATGAGGTATATATTCATACTGTATACCTCATAAGGAACAATTCCCTCCTTAAAACGAGAAAACTTGTTCGAAATTGTTTATCATTTCGAACAAGTTTTCTCGTTTTTAATAAGAAACTAAAGGCTATGAGGCACTGATTATATATTAGTGCCTCACAGCCTTTAGTTTCTAATAGATAGCTGGGAAACTTTCTCCAAATGATAAGTTATTCAGAGAAAGTTTCCCAGCTATCAAGAGGGAATTGTTCCTTATGAGGTATATAGTTATAATGTATACCTCATAAGGAACAATTCCCTCATTAAAATCGTAGATATTTTTTACTTATTACTCATGCTTTCAAAATCACAATCCTCTGAAAAGTTATTTTTTATGAAGAATTTAGAATTTTGATAAATACCTTTTTTCAATTTGATATAATACTTATATATTTTCAAAAAGACATTTTGAAAAGATATCTCAAAAGTTCTCTGAAAACCTATTTTTGATTAATTTTGAGAAATATCCGTATTAAATTAATCACTAAATTCATTCAACACTACTTTAATTTTTAAATTCAAAAAATTATATGTGCTTCTTAAAATGTCTCACAAAAATTTTATTATAAAATTATATACAATATTAAAAATCCCACAACATTTTTTACTTTACATAATCGTACTTCCTCGACGATTAATTTCCCCTCAATTCCTATCGTTGACCGAACTTAGCATGCAACAAAAACATTAAAATTTATAAGAATCGTTATGAAGAAAAATTGAGAACTTATGATTTTTATTTAAGAAAATGATTAAATAATATATAAATAACCATATAAACAACATTTTAGATTCCTCTGAAAAGGGTATCTCAAATTGGTCTATGACCAATTGAATGGTTCGCCGGTTATTCAAGGTACGGTATTTTCATAAAATGTCAAAATATTCCAAAAATTTAAAAGTTAAAAATAAGCATGTTATATCTCATGCTAGATTTTTGCATAAAATGTCAGAATATTCCAAAATTTTTTGAAAGTCGAAAAAAAGCTATCATTCTTTAAAATGTTAGTGGATGATGGCATTTTTAGATGAGTTAATAAAACTTTTTTATTTCCGCTCAGAATCAATCAGTTCATTTCGAAATTGCCAAACTACCTCGGGCAAAATAACGTTTTTTTTTATTTTATTTTATTTTATTTTATTTTATTTTATTTTATTTTATTTTATTTTATTTTATTTTATTTTATTTTATTTTATTTTATTTTATTTTATTTTATTTTATTTTTACGTTATTATCATTGTTTTAAATCATAGAATTTACCACAGAATTCTAATTTTTGTCATGACATGACCCTCAATTGCATTGTTTAAGATTCATGCCAGTTTTTTATGAAATTTGGTGCAGGTGCACCATTATCAATTTTGCGGGCATTAAAATTATGCTTCTGCTTAAGAGGAAACAATCTATAGCAATATGTTTCCAATTTTAATGTAAGTTATGATTATGTAAGAAAATTTGTCGGATTATCATTTTTGTCAGACGACAATGAAAATTTTTATTTTCGGGGTCATGCTAAAAAGATAAATTTATGAGATTGCATTGTAATGATACCTACTCGAATTGCAATGCATCTATTTGGAAATTTGGTGAAAATAAATTGAATAATTTGAGTTTATGATTTTGACTTCGAAATTCACAAAAAATGAAACAATTTGAAGTTAGAACTAGAATGATAACATGCATAAGAAGCTATTAAATAAAAATGTATATGTGTGGATTGCGCTTAAATTAATAGAAAGAGAGTTAAAGTTCAATAATTCAGATGCCAGTTGATGATAATGCCCATAAAATTTGTACTTTCGTTTGGAGAAAATTTGACTGATTGTCATGCAATACTGACTCGATTCATTGTTAATTGAACGAGATACCCAGAATTCAAGGAGTTAACATATTATTTATTATGACAAAAACATGGAAATATTTATTATATAGAAATAAAAAGAAAGAAATAATATACATAACAAATATAAATATAAAAAAATAAATTATAAAACAATAAAAATTAAAAATTAAAAATCTATATTTTGCCTGAGAACATGTTTATAGCAAATGATTCCGTGGCTAGTTCTTTGTTTGGATACCGAACAAAATATGTAGTGCGATTGCCTTTGCCTTTCAAATAAACTTCGCCTCGTTCTTCGATGATGAAATCCATGTCGCAAATAATCTCTTTAGTGTCTTGTGAGATCTGAACACGACCTGGAATGTCCGTGCTTTGAAGACGACTTGCGATGTTGATAGGATCACCAATGATGTCGAATGTTGGTTTGTCGGTACCTAAAACACCACCAATGAGAGGACCACCGGTGTTGATACCAATACGGACTTCTAATGATGACTCAGGTTTTGTGTTGATGTCATCCATGATTCGTTGAACATCTAAACAACATTTGACGGATTGAATAGCATGCATCTTATGGTCGTTGTTATCTGATGATTGGAATAAACCTGCGGCTGCCATGTAGACATCACCAATGAGTTTGATCTTTGTGATTTGATCATACTTAGAAACAATTTTGTCAAATGTTGAGAAAACTAAACTAAGATTACTCATGATTTCCCCTGGAGTAAGTGATGATGAATAAACTGAGAACTTGACAATGTCGATGAAGAAAATTGTAGCTTGAGGGATTGTGAATGAAATGTCTTTCTCACCTCGGTTTAAGCGAACAACAATGTCTTTTGGATGAATCTGGTAAAGAAGTTTTTCACTTCGTTGTTTCGCGTTTTCTGCAGCTGTTCGTTTCTTGATTTCTCCTGTTTCGTTTGTAAGAATAAAGACAATAGAATTAAGTTCATTGGAATTATCATTGTCTTTCATACCAATCATTGTAACCGAGAATGGAACGGATTTACCAAGATCATTGATCAACTCAATATGGTCTTGCCAAACTAATGAACCTTGACCTGATGTCATCAATTTAAGTTGGGACTTGATTTGTTTTTGATCATTGATACAAACAAAGTTTGTGATCTGTTGACCAAGCATTTGATCTGGTTTCAATCCTAAATTGTCCGTAACACTTGGATTAATGATCTTATTGCAGATGTATATCTTCGCTTACGATGTTTAATTGATTTTTTAATCGCAATTAGATTTAAATCATGTTTTAAATCTTTCGAGAATGTGCAAAGAGAATGATTATTATCTGGATATTTTGAACTTACTTTCTCTGTTATCTCGGCACCCAATTTATCAGAATTTGAACTGTCAATATAACACCCTTTAACTTGAATTGAATTAAATGCACTGAAATACCTATTTTTGATATCATTATTATAAAAACTACAATTAATAATATCGAGATAATAATAACTGAATATTAAAACCAAGAATTCATTTTTGATGAAATGACAAAAAAGAATTTGAAATTTAGGCATCTCAGATGATTCCGAATATGTTTCAGATAATTGCGAATGAAAAGCTCCATAATTTGATGTATTGTTTGAAAATGTTGAATGTGTTACATTTGAGTTAGAACTAGACTCAACTTTGTAGATACTATCTTGAGACATTTCTGAATTTGAAATATTGATTGATTTCATATTGATTTCTCCAAAGTGCAAATGAATATTGCCATTTCCTTTACAACTTGAAGTAATTGTTGAATCAATGAGATAGTTCTTAAATGGAGATTCATAATAAAATGAAATATAACAATAAGCGCCATCGTCGCCTGATTTTGAGCCAAAACTGCAGATTCGGTCTTGAACACAATCACCATAAGAAAAATATATGTATAAAGAGCCACCAGATTCCCTTATGTGTCCACATTTGTCAAATGAGCTTGTATCAATGAGGAATTTGATATCGTTCTCTGCTTGGTCTGTGATACGAATAGCACTAGTCTCATTAAGAAAAATAAAGTGACAAAGAGAAACATAATAGTTTTTAACTGGAACAGGAGTGAGAGTTTCGTTTTTATTTCTATATTGAGTGTATTCAACTGAAGGACTGAAGAAATCTTCCCACTCTTTGTGAAAAAATAAGGACGGGGCAATTAATATACTATCAAACATTTAAAAAAACAAGTAAAAAACGGCACAAACCCAAAATGGATTAAAAAACCGATAAAAAAATCCTCATAAAACAAATATTCTTCGAATTCTTTTCTTGTGAAAATTTTGATCTATGCTGTCTACTCGGTGAGTTTAACTTACCTAAAAAACTATGAAGTCATTCAATTTGGTTTTCAAAATATTCAGAGAGATTTTTATCGATTATTTTAATAATCGTATTTGATATCATCTACCAATAATTTTTCCAATGATCGATAAATTCAATTTTTCACAAAACATGATCGAATTAATATTTATTTATGCCATCATTGATATATCACTGTCAATATATGTTTGGAAACACTATCCATTGGATTTCATCAATTTGAAATTAAATCCCTTTGATTTTTTAAAATTATCAAATTATCTCAAACATTAGAAATCAATGAATTTTAATTTAGGAGCCAAATATTAGTTGCGGAGTTTTAATTGTAGTGTCTTACTCTCACTCTTTCTTCCTTCGATCAAAAATAAAATTTTCCGAATTGAATTCATCGTTGAAGTTAGAGAAGCAACATAAAATAGTCAATATGGCTGTAAGTCAGGTTGTAAATTCCCTACTAAATTCAAATTGAGCTTTGGTTATCACTAAATGATTCTGTGTATAATGGATGCTGCATTAACAATTAAATGACCTTATGTTGCATGCTAAGTAGTGTCAATGATAGAAATTGAGAGCCTATTAATCGTCGAGGAAGTACGATTATTTTTTGGGCGAAAAAGTATCTTAAAATATGATTATTAATATGTTTTTAAAATAAAAAATTTGAAAGTTAATTTGAGATTCTCATATAATTTTTTGAATGAAAAAAATAAATATAGTCTATATGAGTTTTTGAATAATCACACTTGAGATATATCTAAAAAATAATTAAAAATAGAGTTTGAGAAGACTTTTCAAGGTGTAATGAAAAGTGTGATATAGAAAATAATTATAGATATTTTTTTTATATATTGTGCTAAGCATTATATTAAATTTTTAGGAAAAACACTTTTCATAAGTATTCAATATTTGAAAATACGCTCCAAAAAAGAAAGATTCTTTTATATTCGCTTATATAAAAGGAGACTCTCTATCAGATGCGAATGCATGAATTCAGCACCTCCGATAGAGAGTTTCCTCTTATATAAGCGGATCTTTTTCATGAGTTATTGTTAATATAAAAACATAAAAAGCTACCAATATGAGAAATTAAACCCTGCGAGGTGCCAGTTCTAGAACTGGCACCTCGCAGGGTTGAATTTCTCTTGACAAAATACAATAATCAAATGCTCCAAAGTTTTCAAATTTTTATTAGGAATAGGAGCCTACAAAGCACTGATTATATATCAGTGCCTGGTAGGCTCCTATTCCTTCTCTAAATGGGAGAAACTTTGTTTGAATAAGATAACATGCGAACAAAGTTTCTCCCATTTAGAGTGGGATTTGGAGGGTGGGAGGTACATAGATAGACTATGTATCTCTCACCCTCCAATTCCCTCGGGAAAGTTCGAAAACTTTGGTGCAATCAGCAACGATTGCACCGAAGTTTTTGCGTTTAATTGAAGGAATTGCTCTTTATGATATATACAGTTACAATGCATATATCATAAGGAGCAATTCCTTCCAGATATCTGGCAAACTTGCTCGCAATGGTTCACAATTGCGAACAAGTTTTGTCATTTCTCATATTGGTAGCTTTTTATGTTTTTATATTAACAATAACTCATGAAAAAGATCCGCTTATATAAGAGGAAACTCTCTATCGGAGGTGCTGAATTCATGCATTCGCATCTGATAGAGAGTCTCCTTTTATATAAGCGAATATAAAAGAATCTATTCTTTTTTGGAGCGTATTTTCAAATATTGAATACTTATGAAAAGTGTTTTTTTCTAAAAATCTCAGAATATATTTACAATAGTAAAATAAATAAGATATTTAAATTTATTTTTAGTTAACTAAATTTTCCTTTTCTTGACGGCTTTGAAATTGAAACTGAATTTGTTTATGTATAATACAAGTCCACACCAAATATTGAAATAATAAGGATCAATTAAACAAAAAAAGATTCCTATGCATCATAATTCTGTACCAAATCTTTTCATGATTGATCTTCAAAGGAGAAATGATAGTTCTTGAAAACTTAGAAGTGTTTCTATAGTGCAGTAAAACACAGAAAATAAAGTTAATATTAATTTCAAAATAAAAATTTATTGAGACTTTCAAGATATAATTTAAATCTCATCAACTTAGTATGAGTTAGTTTCGACTAATAGCTTATTTGCAAGTATTAATTTTTCTAACTAAAATTTTTTCTGGTAATTGAAATATGCTGATAAGATAAAAGAACACTAAAAGGAAAAATCAATTTCTAATCCTACGGTAAATATGTAATAAAATAAAATTGTTTATTCAAGATAAACATGACTGGGAAGGGAGGGACATACATCATGTGTGAGTCAGTTTACTTGGACCTCATCATCCTCCTCTTCCTTTTCAGTCTCCGCATGCGCTTCTTAAGCCACTTGCCTCTCATTTAAATCAAACAAACTTTATCAAAAATTTGAATATATCTTATCGTTAACTTAAAATCTAATAAAATCTATTTACTTTGATTTGTAAAATTATAAACATTTTGTATTTGACAGTTTTGACAAGTAATTTTATATCTTTATGAAAATTTAATTTAAAAATGCAAATTTATGTTGACTGATGAATGTACTAATATATTTACGGGAAAAATTTTTCTACGAAATTTCACTCGAAAATAAAATAAAATTTTACAAAAAACATTTGGTTGAATAACGAATAGAAGTGAAAACGAAATTTCGGTTTATGATATGGCAAAAAAGAATTTTCAACCATTCAATGGTTTACAATTCAACTTTATTTTACTAATTTGTTTTTATCTTTGTTGAATGCAGCAATTTAAGAAAATCGACAAAAGCGAGTAAACGGAAGTGGGTGGACAATTCGATTGAAATTCTACGCAAGTAAATCGAAGAGAAATATGTTATTTGAGAATGTTATGTGTCATCAAAGCTAATCTTATAAGGTTGAGAATAATTTCGAAAAAAATCAAATGAATTTTAAAAGAATATCGAGCGCATTCAAATCTTGAACGCTAAGCTATTAGCAAATTAAACCCTTAAAGTATAATTTGTATGTATATAATTGATACAAAAACTGTAATGAAGATTTATTAAATATAGGAATCCTATTACTATTTGTTTTTGGTTCGCTATTAAATACTATCATTTATCTTCTTGGTAGAGGTGGTGGGGGAGGTGGTGGAGGTGGTGGAGGAGCTGCACCAGATTTCGATGGCGGTGGAGGAGCGCCTCCAGAACTAGATTGCGGCGGCGCTGCATCCTTAGAAATATTAGCTAATATGAAATCATGAAATTCTCTAGCTTTTGTAGTACCAAATGAAGATTTAGATGGATATTCGTGTTTTTCTTTTCTGAATGGTGGCGGCTTCAAATTATTTGTAGGGAAATCATATCTATATGTTGGTTCGGGTGGAGGCGGAGGCGATCTAATTGCATGCGCACTATGTCCTGTATGACTTACTGTTTCCTCAGCCGCTGTGTCTTCAGCTGATGGAGGCGGTGCTGGCTTCCTAATTCCTTGATTACCAAAGGTTGCCATAAGCAATCTCTGTCTATCTGCAAAGCTGGTAGCCATAACTTATATTAATCCTTTTTGATTTACAAATTTTTTCTCATAAAAAATTTCAAGTGAACTCATCACACTACGTTTGATTTTTTATATCATTTTTTTAAACGAATATAAGGGTAAACAATGAACTACATAAGTTTATAAGAAAAGGACATTTAGGAAATGCTTTTTTCGCCCTGAAATTTTTTTGTGGACAAATACCATGTGCTAAAAAAATCCTTTTAGAAATGTGTTCTATACACTACATACGATATTACAATTAATACCGATTCATCAAGGATTTTACAAAATTGAATAAATTAACTCTTCTGGTATCTGGTTGAATTATTCATTTCAACTATCTCTGATTTGGTATGGCATTAAAAGTTTGCTTTGATGTTTACATAATTCATTATTTGCCTCAAACTTATATTGAAATCTAACAAAAATATATGATAGTAATAGGTCGTATTCAAGAATTAGGTCATATTTCAGTAATACATTTTAGTGATTATGAAACTTTTATATCATAGAGAGAAATGGTCAAGAAATTTGAACGTTGATTTTATCTTGATGATATATATGCATGCATGCGTCTAAATGAATTTCTTGGTTGTAATTCATATAAATTCTGTATAGTCACTTTAAGGATATGCAGTAACGGATTCTGATTATTTATTTGCTTTTTCTTCTCTTTCGTTATATCATAATTTTTGATTCTCCTATGTGTGTTTGTTCTGATTTAGAGTAATTTAGAAGATAATTTAGATACCGGTCTAATAATGTTTCCGTTCGCTTTCAGAATTTACTACGAAAATATTGGGATATACGGAAAAATTAATATTTTAATAAAACTTGTTCCGATGAGGCCAGTATTCCTTATTTTTGTGGCCATACATTGCTTAAGAATATTAATCTTTCGTTTTAATTTGAATTAAACCTGAATAATGAATTTTTTTTTGATATGATTATCGAAATTATTGCATGTAAAGATGTATTTCATTTTTTATATAAAATAAAGGATAATACATGATTTATCATTTTTCAAAAATCTTTACAAAAACTTATTTTTGAGTTTGAATTCTTAATTTTGAATTTGATTTTTAACTTTTTGATATTTTTTTAAATTCTTGTGTTTTTAAAAATGCTTCTCCTTTCATTATAGAACGAATAAATCATAATAATCCAAATAAAACTTTCTTGACGATCAATTTATTTTTTATAATGCAATCTTTATATGATTTTTCGAGCAGGTCATGGAATTATTTGCTAATGCAAACACACCATGCAAAAGAGAAGGTAGGATGGGTTGATCAAAAGCTCGATCCGAAGGTTGAAGACGCAAAAATGAAATTAAAACAAATCGAATCTATAATGTATCGATATCAAAACAACATATTTAAAATCATAGAATCCATACCTAAACTAAATACCACATGCAGAGAATTTTCACGCTTTTTTGTGCAATGCGACATGAAATTTGGAGGAAAATCTAAAACGTTGACTAACACACTCGACTTATTTTTCGAATCTGCAGAAGAAATTTGTGATCAATCGTTAATTAAACATTACGATGAAAACTTAAAATCAACCTTTAAAGAAATACAAGAAACTATTGATAAACTTAAAGAAATTAAAGCTGAGAGACATAATATTAGACTACTTAAATGTGCATATGAATCAAGACTTGAATCTTTAACTCATAGTGGTGATCCTGAGTCTGTTGCTACCACCAGAATTGCTGTTGATGAAAAGACTATAGAGTTTAATCTGATATCAGAGAAATTCGTTCGATATGTTAATAATTTATGGAATATTCGAGTAGAATTAATAGAACGCCCAATGCAAGAACTTGTAGCTCTCGTATTTGAGATCATTAAAGGCATATATTTGCCAAGTAAGATACTTCAAACTCATGTTTCGAAAGAAGAATTGATGAAAGAATATTTACCAAGTGTTCAACAAAATAATTAGTATATATCGACTTATTATCTCACAAACTATCAATTTTACAGTCAATTTCTAACATATTTTAACCTTTTACAGAAAATTTTCAATTGAAATTTGAAAATTATGGAGATTGTTTTGATAAGTATGCTCACTGACTAATGAAGGCTGTTTTCTTTATGTGGATCCTTTTGTATTTTTAAATTTTTTAAATAAAATCATGTAATATTTTATGTTTATTTAACTTTCACATATATAAAAAAGGTCATATTTATAATGCAAGTTCTCCTTCATGGCTTTGATTTGTCTGTGACATTAATTCTTCAGTTCTGTCATCTTCTTCGAGATTTGCTCTACGGCGTCTTGCCTTTACGCAATCTATTACTTTGTAAACAGTGAATCCGATTACGCAAGCTACAACGGCTGCAATGAAAAGTCCGATATAACTCCACTTTCCAATCAGATTCTCAATGATATCCCTTGGCTTAAGGAGCTCAACTTCGCTGATAACTCCTGGTGGTGTTATACACTCAGCGGCCAAAGGAACATTGAATGCCTTTACACTTGTCACGTTTCTAGAAATGACGATAGGTTGAATGAGGGTTGAACAACCGTCACTGTTTTCTTTGAACTGAGGGGCCACGTAGAGGACAGCGTGTGGGATATCCTGGTCTAAAGTGAATTCTATGCTGTGGAAGTCCTTCAGAAGGATAGGTGTCGTATAAACATTAACTTTCTTATCAAGATCCCAAACACCAACAATAGCTGTCTGCCCATTAGGATCACTGGTCAAATGCTTAACATGCATCGTGAAATCTACTGGCATTTGAACCTCATTTAAGTCATTAATCAAAAATGGTTCGTAAGGAGTTGGTCTAACGATGTAAGAGTCAGCTTTTCGCTCGTACTGTTCATTAATCGTGATGTCTGATGTACCTTGGACCTTGTCAAACTTGGATTCAACCTTCATCGTGGCTTTATTGAGTCCAATGTAGCAAGGAATCTCGATCTTGCTCTGCTGAGGGTAGTTGTATACGTCATTTGCAATTTGGAACATTCTGTTGTTCAAATCTTGAAGATATACGTTAAATGAAGTGTTCTTTTCTGAGGAAATGCTGAATTCGTATTGAACACCGCATGACAAACTCTTGTCTAAGTTGATTTGAGCCTTATTTTCGTATTTTGTGTCAAATGGATCCGATAAAATCTTTTGATTTTCAACTTTTTGTGACTTTTCGTGGCCGTAGATTGTCAGAGAGATGCCAGTAACTGTTGACTGGTTACCATATGCATCACGGCTAACGATAATTGTCCATTTGTCATCTTTTGCAGTTTTTTCACCGAAAAAGTTACGAATTACATATGTATTTGTGCCCTGCGAGTTCTCAGAGTTCGAAGGCAATACTACATGTGCTGTTGTATTCGATGGAGAAACGACATCGAGTCTGAGATTTCCAATATTCGGGTAATCGAACTGCAAAACAGCGTATTCGATCGAATTAATCTCTTCACCAGTATACTTCGATTCAGATGACCTATAGCCACCTCTTGTTGTATAAAGTCCAAAATCAGAAAATGTCACTTTTCCGGATTTTTGAATTGGTAAATTTTCGAAAGTTTTTGCCTTTTCTACAGCCTTTTCAGCGTTGATTCTTCCAAAGCCGAAAACATCTGAGTAGTAGATACCAGCGCCGTTCTTTGTCCATGATTCATGGTTAGGATCGTTGATATCTGAAGTTGTTGCCAAAATATTTTGAACTTCACGATAAGTAAGGGCCGGATTAGCTTGCTTCATCAATGTTACAACACCTGATACTACTGCCGCACCTACACCTACAGGAGATAAACCAGCTACAGACATTGGATCGGAATATTCTCCAGAAACAGAATCTGTCTTGATTGTTACTGGCTTAGGAAGGCTGTTGTTAATTCCTTGGGTGTAGAATTGGCCGCCCGCTGGTGCATTTACGACAATACAAGTTCCTCTGTTCGACCAATAGGATCTGGCGCCTTCTATTGTTGTATCTGCAACAGAGATGACATGTGGATCACGAACATCTGGGTAAAAGTTAGCGTCACCACCACTAATTGCATCATCACCTACCGGAGCAATAAATATTGTATTTTTACCTTCTTTTTCGAAAGCTTTTGTAAGATTTTCGTTGTTTGGTTTCGGTGAACACATTGAAAATTGTGTATCATGGAAATCTGAACAAGTATGAGGTACATAAATAAGAGATACAGCGCTATTATCAATGGCATATTCAATACCACGTGCTATACGATTGTAATCTTCTTGATATGTTTGCTTAACACAATAGAATTTTGCTTTTGGAGCAATTCCTGAAATTGCAACATCATTATGAGAAGCAATAGCAATAGCAAGATATCCGGAAGACAATTCCTTGTTTGGATCTTGATCGTATGCTTCAACATTAGTGTTATCTAAGTCAACATTGTAATTATATTGTTGTAAATTTCTTCCTTCGAACTCTTTATGTGCCAAATAGCATCCTTTACCAATTATACTGTATGTAACATTTTCACCAAATACGTTTTTATCCCAAACTTCGCGTATTTTGATTTGATCGTATCCTTTTGTAGCAAAAGAATAGTCATTATCTTGAATTATATACTGCTTATTGAATAGTGGATCTTGAGGAGTGTACTCATATCCACAAATTCGAGGAATTAAACAAAAAAGCATAACAATAAATCAAAAAAATTTGCAAAAAATTTTTGCATTCAATTTTAATTTAAAGGAATTTCGATTGTATTATAAGATTCTAATTTTTATGATAAGTTTTATTTTTGAAAAGTGACAATTCCTACCGATAGATTTAGGAGTATCGTTTTTCAACTATATCGCATATAACCATAGTGCACGAATGATCAACAATTGATGACATGCATCTAATTCTCTTCAATGACTCCAATTTTTGATTTTGATATTTCATATTATTTTTAAAACATTGAAATTTGAGTGTTCCAACGAGAATTTGAGTTATATGCATTCTGGACTTAAAGGTCTAGAGACAGAAAAGCGTAATTCTACACTAACGCATATTTCGAAGAATATTATATCGATTTTCGTCATCTAAGAACTCAAACTATTATATACTATGAGCATATGAAGCATATTTATGCATATAACATCAATATGGTCATTGATATATTTTTGACCTTCATAAACTAAAGATCTGATTAGTAATTGATATGTAATTAGCTATGTTTATAGTAGTTAAAAGAATATGTTAATATGATAAAGATTGAAATTTAGATATCAAAATATACATTTGAATCTACATAAATCTATTGAGTTTAGATCCGAACACATTAGTGCTGGATAAAATATATGGACATATGAAACGTATTTACATAATGTCCAACAGTATTGAATTTCAAATTGTTGATCTAGTATAATGACATAAGGTATTACACAACGAAGGACCATAATTCAATATGAAACTACTAACTCTTGTACGAAAGAAGGAATATCAATCCTTTTCAAGAAAAATCTTTCGACATTTCTAAATATAAGGAAAAATTATTAAAGATCTTGACGATATTATCTGCAATAATTTCAATACTTTAGCATATAAGTCAAAATCTGATCTTTGATAATTCACGTCAAATTGACGATAAATCAAAATCTTGCTTCAGGAAGATAAGATTTTTTCATGAAATTTTAATGAAATTATATTATTTTAGAGCGTCTCTAACCTTTTTATATTTTCTATAGCCGTGGTCTTAAAATTGAGAAGAATTGATTTGGCCACTTTCAGATGAGTATGAACGGAGCAGAATCCAACAACAAAACAACGATCTACGTAAGCGATCTCCCACTCGAGACAACACAAGATTTTATTCACCAGATTTTCAGAGATTACGGAAACATCACTCAGTGCGAATTAAAGCCACGTAAACCAGGAGCTAAATCAATCGGTGCTTTTGTTACGTTCGAAAACCATGAGCAGGCTAGCAAGGCAATTGAAGAATGCAACTACATGCGCATCAACGACAGCGTCCTTCGTATTCAATGGCAGATGATTAACCCATACCTCCATGACAATCAATCCAATCTTGTCATCAAGGATCTTCCGCCAAAGGTCGAGGAAGCCAGCCTTAATCAACACTTCCGCAAGTACGGCGAGGTCCTCTCATGCAGAATCATCAAGAAGTTCAATGGCAAGAATATCGGCTATGTTCAATTTGCCAGAGTCGAAGATGCCAATCGTGCTCTTGATGACCTCCAAAATGCTTTGATTGAAGGTCAACCAATCTATGTCGACAAGTTCATTCCACATGAAGACCGCGCCGACATTCCTGTTCAGCTCCCACACCAGGCCATCCACATTAGCCATCAGGATGCAAGCTTCTTAACAGATGATAAGATCAAACAGACATTCTCTAAGTTCGGCTCAATCTTAGAAGTATTCAACATCGAAAACTATGTTATCGCATACTTCGCTGATACAGCTGGCCCAGCCAAGATCATTCAGGATGGAGAGATCACACAGAAGGGCTACACAGTTTCTGTTCGCGTTCCAAACCATATCACAATGAGAGTCCGCCAGATCATCGACTCCCGTTGCGTCTTCCTTGCTGACCTTACAACAACAAATAACCAGGCCATCAGAGACCATCTTTCAAAGGCCGGCAAGCTTGTTACATTCGAAATCCAGGAGAAGTCCCCATCACAGCTTCTCGCTTCAGCTCAGTACGAATCCGAGGAGACAAGAACAAAGGCCATCGAAACTCTCGATAGAACAACATTCGAAGGCCAAGAGACACCAATCCGTGTTCTCCCATACAAGGCTCGTTCTCTTGCTCGCCAGCAGCCAACAGCAGGCCTCTTAATGCTTGATGAGATCGAATATAACACAACATACCTTGATCTCCGCAAGAAGTACTCTCAATACGGTGAAGTCATCACAGTTTCCATCTGCCCAACCCCACAGGCAACACTTGTTGGCTTCGTCCTCTTCATGAAGTACGAAGATGCACAGAAGGCAAAGGCAGAGTCCAAGAACGCATTCCTCTTCCCACCAGTTGTCAGCTCCCAGGTTTTGAACTGCTTCTACTCAGCACCAAAGGCCAAGAACAACCTTCTCTTCGCATTCAACCTTCCAGCCGACAAAACACAGGAAGCCATCCTCACCCAGTTCACACAGATCGGCGGCTCCCTCAACTTCATCAAGACAGTCCAGACAGAAACAGGTCGCCACGCTTTGATTCAGTATCGCGATGACGCCGGCCTTATTCCAGCCATCAAGTACCTTAAGGAGAAGAATATCAACTACCAGATCTACACAATGAACACACTCTTCAAGTCATCAATCATGCTCTACAAGGTTGAAATGCCAAATGATTACAACGGCAGATTCCTCTTCTTCAACAACCTCCCAGAGAACTACTCTTCTGGCCAGATCTACAATATCCTCACAGAAAAGGGTTTCGCTGTCGAAGCAGTCAACATGGCTTATAACTTCGAAACATTCGAAGCATGCACACGCGCTTCAGTTCTTTTCAAGACAGTTGAGTCAGCTTATAGCTGCTTCTCCAACTATACAGTTCTTACAGAATTCCCAGAAATTACAGTCCAGGCATTTACAAACTCCGCCTTATCTTCTCAGCAACCAATCGCTCAGGCAGTTCCTCAGGTCCAGCCAATGAGAAGACAGGAAATCAAGAGACCACGCCAATACCTCACAGATAAGACAAAGGAGAGAACAGATATCTCCGATGAGCTTAAGAATAAGATCTTAGAGAAGATTCCAAAGCTTTCTATCATCCAGGTTAATGAATTCTCACACGACGAGAACAAGTGGAATGAATACATTAAGACTATTTAGAGTAAAATAATTTTGATATCCTCATTTAAAAAAATTTTTTTTTTCTGATATTTACGTATACATCATTCAAAATTTCTCAAGTTTACACGGAATGATTTTTAAATTCCAAATTTTTCTTAAATTCATTTAAAATCTTATTCTATTATTAATTACCATTAGAAAAATCGATGTTTTAAAGAATGATGTTAATAAACGGACAAAAATTTCGGAATTGTTTGAGTTAAAGGTTTCCAATTCGCATACAAGAATAGAATATTATGGTCATTTATCTTACATACCATAGAGTATCTGTCAAAATTATGCAAAATTTATTGAAATTTCGTGGTGATTGTTTGACTCTTTTAGTGTCAGGACCAAAAGTCCGTTACCTTTTTAATCGTTTCATATAATGCAACCATAATCAACGAGCCAAATGATCTGATTTTAGCAACCAAGGTTTCAGATCAGATTTAGCTATCTTGGAGAGTACCCCCGATCCATCATGACATACCAAAAACCAAAATTTGTGATAAAATCGAACAATTTTGCTTTCATGTCCTCCGTGGATAATTCTATCGTTACAAAATTTGAGTGAATTAGCGTTTCTTAAAAATTCTAATAATAATGTGCAGTGATCTTAGTACAGAAAACTCTCGGTAAAATTTTTGGTTCACAGGCAATCGACTTTTGAAAGTTAAATAATCGGCTTGAATACAAAATTTGAATACAATGATTTTAGTACCTCATATTTCCCTCTGTGCTTACTTTTTGGCTTCCCTGCTCTCCTATACTGCCGCAGAGCTATAGCATGCTAATGTGCCCCGTATTATGAGCTGTTTAAACTACAAGATCCGAAGAAACGCGCCAAATGTGAACTCAAAAATTATGATATCAGAAATTTTTGTGAGCGAAAAATTTGAGAGGTTCACTTAATTTTTTTTTTCCTTCGATTTTTCTATCCTTTTTCTATTTCATAGTTGCAGAATTAATATGTCTAATTTAAGTAATAGCCAAGATTCCGCAGCCGTGAAAAAGAATTCGATCCAGAGCCTCATGAGTTCTCCGGAGCATCCCGCTTCTCAGAACTCAGGAGCTCCATCTGCACCGATAATTCGAAAAGTTTCGAACCCAACAAAAACAGTCGTGCCACATCCGGTAGTCCGAATAAATCCAGCAATCGTAAGACAAATCAAACCTTCGCCTGAAATAAGTAAACCGCCGTTACCAATGCCAGCCATTCCAAGGATCGACTTGGTCCCTCCTTCAATACCAGCAGTACCGATTAAACCAGTCCCATACGTTATTCCGAAAACCTCATCAATTCCAGACATGTCTAATATTCCAATTCCACAACCATCTCCTCAGCCGCGAATCATGCCAACACCTATTCCTTATATCTCACAACAACATCAACCACTTCCTCCTCAGCCAATTCCAATCCCATCAACTTATTATCCTTATCAAACTCCACAACCATATCCACAGCCATATTTGCCACCAACACAGCCCCAATACTACCAGCAACTAAGAGCGCCTATCCCGCACCCCGTAATTTCTATTCCAAAAGTAAATCAACACTCAATTCAACCACCGGAACCCGTGTTCTTCAACGATAAGAGATCTGGGCGCTACGGCATCAGATGCGTTTGTGGTGAAAGTAGGAACGATGGCCTCCTTATCCAATGCGATTCTTGCGAATTTTGGTTACATGCGAAATGTGTGAACATCGCAAGGATATCGGACAACGAGTCCTTCTACTGTCCATTCTGTAGAGGCCAGCGCATTAAATGCAAATGCAAAAATAACAAAAATTATACAGATCCAATCGTTCAATGCACGAATTGCAAATTCTGGGTCCACAAACGTTGCGAAAATTTATACTACGGTTTCTGCCCTCATGACTTCGTTTGCTCGAACTGCCAGCCTGATAAAACTTACACAATTCCTTTTAATAAATTAAATCCGGAAGATTTGAAGTTACAGTCTGATATTATCGTATCAGATATAAACAGGCAGGAAATAGTATCAAATATAGTTGAAGGAAGGTTCCACGATGAAATTCAGCAAGATTTATCAAATTCAGAGATAAGTTTTTGCAATTTAATCTCGAAATACTTCACAGAATACGCTTCTCTCCTTTTCGATAGAATAAGAGGCTTCTGGGCTTGTTTCGTCGATACTTTTTCTTCAATATTTAATGTAGACAAAAAACTTGTTATGAGAGCTATCGATGTATTAGCGAACAAGCTTATATACAATACAAGCTCTAAAACATCATATCAGCCGGTGAAATTCTTCGAAATGAGTGATGAAATTCAATTATCTTCGAGTACATCATTAATTCGAATAGAAAAACCACAACACCAGACAGAATTGATCATTACTGATGACGATTCAGTGATATCTAATGAATTAATCGAAGATGGAGCTTTTATTATGGAATTATCTGGTTTCTTGATGCATATGGACGAAGTCCGCTGCGAGAATGGAATTCCTATATCATGTATTACAGTTACAACTGATGATACTTCCGTTCTCGACGTATCGAATTCCGCATTTCCACAAGCAGCCCTAATCAGGCGCTCTTTCCACTTCAATTGTGTTGTAAAGCTCGTAAGGATTGGCGGCAACGTCAGAGCGGCCCTTTACGGAGTTAAACCGACTGGGCCATTATCTGAAGAAAAAGGAAGACGCGGACCATCGATACAGCCAGGGCAAGAACTGGTGCTTCCCCTAGATGGATACATTCCATTCGATACACAAAAAATCGAATGGAAGGATAAGAAAGCTCGTCCAAAGACAAATTCTGATTCCTTTAAGGCCCCGAACCCACGATCTCCTAATTCCAACTCAGATAAAGCATCGTATACAGGTTCTTCATCTAATTCTTCCGCAAAATCTACGATTCAGTCCAGAAGACATCATTCGGAGTCTTCATCTCGTAGTTCTTCGCCTCCTCCGCCAAAAGAGAAGAAGAAGAAACAAAACAAGAGCCAGGAGAGGAGAAAGAGCGCAAACGGAGAAGAAGAAGTTCAACTTTCACTTTTAAGTGGATTTTTATACGACATAATACCCCCTATTCCATTCATTTTATTGCCTGACCAGGAGGCCGTGGAGCAGTACAATGAGAAGAAATCATCATCTTCAAAGAAAAAGTCTTTGAAATACTCAGATTATTAATTTTTATTTTGTTTTTAAGCCCAATTTCATTATTTATTATATTTGTTTGTTTGAAGAATGAGGGCGATGATATATAGATATTTATTTAATAAAAAACGTTCATGCAATTCGGTATTTTTGTTTTTTTTTATTAGTATGACTATGAAACAACATTATAAGAACTATATATGCAGAATTTGAACAATAGACATTCTCACAGTTCGATATTTCAAAGAAAGTCGCACAATTGATATCAATGTTTTTCTTTTTATATATTATAGTGAGAGATAATTATCATTATAAGAACTATATATGCAGAATTTGAACAATAGATATTCTCACAGTTCGATATTTCAAAGAAAGTCGCACAATTGATATCAATGTTTTTCTTTTTATATATTATAGTGAGAGATAATTATCATTATAAGAACAAGACAAGCAGAATTTGAACAATAGATATTCACACAGTTCGATATTTCAAAGAAAGTCGCACAATTGATATCAATGTTTTTCTTTTTATATATTATAATGAGAGATAATTATCATTATAAGAACTAGACAAGCAGAATTTGAACAATAGACATTCTCACAGTTCGATATTTCAAAGAAAGTCGCACAATTGATATCAATGTTTTTCTTTTTATATATTATAATGAGAGATAATTATCATTATAAGAACTAGACAAGCAGAATTTGAACAATAGACATTCTCACAGTTCGATATTTCAAAGAAAGTCGCACAATTGATATCAATGTTTTTCTTTTTATATATTATAATGAGAGATAATTATCATTATAAGAACTAGACAAGCAGAATTTGAGCAGTATATACTCATGTAATTCGGCATTTGATAAATAAAAGTAGATCTTGATATCTTTGTTGATTTTTTTAATGTGAGTGACTGTAAAATATCTCTGGAGTGAAAAAAGAAGCAGTAGTTGAGCTAAAAAATACTCACTCAAATCAGTATTTTTAAAGAACAACTGTACATTTGTTATTTTATTTTACTAGTAAACATATCTAATTGATATAATATTACATAAATACTATTTGAACCAAGATGATTTTCTTATAGAATGCCTATTCTAATTTAAAATTTCCTCGATCATCGATCAATATTCTCGTAAAAATTTAGGATTTGAATTGAACTAATTATTAATTGAATTCTATTCACACAAATTATTAAAAGTATTAAATATTTATACATGATTTTATACGAGAGAGGGTCAAAGTTGCTATTTGTCACTTTTCCACAAGAATATAATGGGAAAAAAGTTTGATCAAAAAAAAACACCATTTCTCACCACTATGTTCGTTTGAGTGTAACTAAACAATTGTCTCAATTGAAAAATAATTTATTCAGGAATTTGATTTTGGAGAAAAATCAGTTTTTTTAGAAATTTCATTCAGATTAGTTTTATTATAATTTTCTAGAGTGTTTTCCATATTGAAGAAAAAAATTGACAACGTTAGATTTTTTTGGCAAACCCAAATTTTAGCTAAAAGTGACAGGGAAAAAAAACGTTTAGTATTAAAAAAAAGACCGATGAGAGCTTCGTTCGAAATATAGAGGGAACTGAGAATGCGCAACCATTCTCAGGGAATATTGGATGCTATTCCCGTTCCCTCTGTATGGAAAATTGAGGTTTTCAAAGGGAGTTAAAATAATATCAAATTTATACTAATTTACTTCAAAATACAAAAGTATTTGACAGCTAAAATTAGTTACTTTAGCAAGCCTATCAATACCCTTTTACGATTATTGTTACTTTTTCGAAATAAAAGTAAAAACAAATTTATACTAATTTACTTCAAAATACAAAAGTATTTGACAGCTAAAATTAGTTACTTTAGCAAGCCTATCAATACCCTTTTACGATTATTGTTACTTTTTCGAAATAAAAGTAAAAACAAATTTATACTAATTTACTTCAAAATACAAAAGTATTTGACAGCTAAAATTAGTTACTTTAGCAAGCCTATCAATACCCTTTTACGATTATTGTTACTTTTTCGAAATAAAAGTAAAAACAAATTTATACTAATTTACTTCAAAATACAAAAGTATTTGACAGCTAAAATTAGTTACTTTAGCAAGCCTATCAATACCCTTTTACGATTATTGTTACTTTTTCGAAATAAAAGTAAAAACAAATTTATACTAATTTACTTCAAAATACAAAAGTATTTGACAGCTAAAATTAGTTACTTTAGCAAGCCTATCAATACCCTTTTACGATTATTGTTACTTTTTCGAAATAAAAGTAAAAACAAATTTATACTAATTTACTTCAAAATACAAAAGTATTTGACAGCTAAAATTAGTTACTTTAGCAAGCCTATCAATACCCTTTTACGATTATTGTTACTTTTTCGAAATAAAATAAATTTATTATCAAAAACCTTTTTTTTTCTTAGTAAAAATAAAAATGTTATTTTATATCAAGTTTTTATTCATAAATTTTTATAATGTTGTATAAATTTCATTAAAATTTACGTACATATTAAGGTACTTATCTTCTACATATATAATCTTCATTAGATATATACATGATAAATAAAATTCATAAAACATTAAAAATCAAAAAATGGGCGCGTAAAGGGTTGGCGTCCTAAGGCGTCCTGATGTAAACTATTCAATTTTTGAGAAGTTTACACCATAATTGAATAGTTTATGGCGTCCTGAGAGGAGATTTCAATGGGTATGGCGTCCTAAAAAAATAGAAGAAAATGATTTTTTCTCGATTTTTCTAGAAATTGAATTTTTTAAAAAAGAAAAAAATCAAAACGTATACATTCAAGAAAGACTATAAATGAAGATTTTTTTATTTTTTTTCATTCTAAAACATCTTTTTTTGGATAATTTTTTTTAAATAAATATGTAAGAAAGATTGAAGAAAAAGTAAATTTACTTTCAGAAAATTCGTTTTACATGATGTAAGACCCATAACAACTATAAATATTCAATTATTTAAAATAAAAAAAGAAAAACAGATTAAATGTATCTCACATCAAAATCCATTGACCTAAGGATGTTAAGTTTCTGTTTTTAAAAGTTGATATTTTTTTTTTAATTTTAAGAAAATTAATAGCATGTTATTAGACAATAGGAGTGTAATGATATTGACTAAACAGAAATGAGAGAATAGAGATATAATTTTGATAAGCAATATTGCAAACAAATTCTGAAGTAAAATCGCGATCAATAATTGAAAATTACGATCATGTACTGAAAAATGACGATCGAATTGAATGAATAGAATTATATCTAAGAAAAAATAAATTGTATTTAGAAGATGAACAAAGAAAGGTGTATGCTAAAAATCATTTAACAATAAATGGAAATAAAACGAAATTGTTAAAAGAAAAAAATGAAAATTGTTAAATAATATATTATTTTTTAGTCATAAGAATAAAAATATAGTAGTTATAAAAGGAATTAGACTTCATATATCAATTCTTTTTCTCTGTAGATGTGGAACGTTTGCTTTTCGATCTCTTTCGATGAACTTGAAAATATAAGTTATTATCGCTGAGAATCCTTTCCGAAATAGGAGCTTTACGTTTAGGAGGATTGTCGGATGAATTTTGTTTTTTATTGTTTGATTTTGTTGTTATGGAAGATTTTTTCTTATTTTTTTCAGAATTTTGCTTGCTATTAACTGAAACTTGTTTTGACGGCCCAACAATAGCATTTGTAGTAGGAAGAATTCCCAATAACGAGCGCATTTTCGATAATTGTTTTTCAATATGATCAAGAAGGTCCAGCTTATGTTCTAGATTACTAGACATTTGATTTGTAGAAGGATGGTTTTGATTTTCTGGTTCTAAATCTGTAGAGTCTGCAATATTTGAATTTTCGGAGCGAATTGGAGCATCTGAACCTTGATTTGTATCGGCTTGCTCAAAATTAGTTTGAATTGGAGTGGATGAATTAAAATCTGGATGATTTAATGTTTCATTAAATAATGCCATAATTTTTTCTCTTTTTTCATTAATAAACTTAGTGATCATTGTATCTTTATCTGTTAGATCGATCGATTTGAGTATATCTGCATCATGAACTGGAATATTTTCGAACAATGAACTCGATTCTATGGAACCATATGGAGAAATCTCGTTCTGAGCCAAAGAAAGATCACTTACGTTGTATTGTTTGATAGAAAAAATTGTTTTCTCAAGTTCTTTTTGAAAGCAGTCAAGAATATAATTTTTGTAGCTATCAGTGATAACGGTTTTTATATGGCGCTCGATCTTCTGGTTATTTTTGATGGCGTTATATTTATCTAATTGGATTTGAGATATCTTCTTAATAGCTTCATAAATGTTTGGATGTTTTAACGAAGAAAATTCTGAATGCATACTCTCGAGGCAATCATTAGTGAATATTGCAGTTGCATTATTATATTGAGATATTAAATTGTAGTGCGGCAACCAAACTTTGTTGAAATAATCAATATAATCTTTGATCGAATCAACTTTATTTTGATTAATTATATGCATTGTAAGTACAAATTCTTCATGAGACATGAATGGAGTAATAGAATATAGCTTAAATAAAGAATTTTGTAAAGTATTGAAATTTTTTGTATAAAGTGCTACAAGTTTCCTGTGTAAAGCTTGTTTGAAATGAAATAGGCATCCAATTATACGGACTTTAGGGAAAATTTGTTGAAGTGCCTCTATCATTCCCTTTTCAAAATCACAATGAATTTGAATTAGCTTTGAAAATTGAATACCCTTGACAGTAAAAATATATTCAAATGCCTTCTTATAAGATTCAAATGTGCGGTTTTTCATGAATATAAATAAAAGTGGTAGATATTGATTTGTTGAAGGTTCACAAATCATAATTGTTAGCATCTGTCCTTTTTGAAAATGTTTTGGTGTAATTTTAAAAGTTCCATCGCAAAATAAATCTGTGGCTTCTTTTGCAAATTGAATTGCCTTCTCAAAACCAAAAAACATCGTCTCACAATTTGCTTGAAAATCATGGCCAATGAAAAACTGCTCGCCATTTATTAAACAAAAATTAGCAATTTCATCGTCTGTAATTTTTTCTCCAACAGAAAATTTTCTGGACTTATTATAAACTTCCCTGACCAATGAATCTTTAATTAATGGGTTTTCATCAGTACCAACAGCAAGTTCTGTCATAAATTTTTTAATCTGCTGAAAAGTGCCGTTGTCTTCAGAAAATTTTGCCATTGCCTTATTGTATATTTCTGTCAGAGTCATTGATTTATGAAGATCATTTTTTTCATTTTGTAACTTTTTAAATTGTCTGCATTCGGGTATATGTTCCTTTTGTAAATCTTCGGAAACTGAACTGTTCTCAATTTTAACTAAATAACGTGCTTGACAAGAATGATCGATGCAACGGTAGTAACGTTCAATATTATTTGAATTAATAATATTTGTATGATCATGCGAATAAAGCATATCTTTGCGAACAATTGTATCAGGATATTTTCCAGTAACTGCGGGAATATTTTTAACTGCAATATAACTAAAATATCTTCTGACAGCTTTAGATTCATTTTCGGCGTATTTAATATTAAAATATTGAAGAACTTGTTTGATTATATTCGTTTTTTCATCTCTCGATGTTGATTTTTGGTATTTATCAGATTGTTCCCTGATAAATATTTTATTTTCGTCTGTAAAGTTTGCTCTTTTTTGATTAAATATAGATGATTTTCCCATTAAAAAATGAAATGATGCAAAATTTACGAAAACCGTTCGAAAATTGAATCAAAAATGAAAAGTAATACTTAAATGAGGAATTCTTTGAGATATTGGTCTTAGATTGAATGTAGCGTCATTCTTATATAGAATATATATTCATATCATCGGAAATATGATAAAAAGCATATAATAAATGTCAAAAAAGTGAACAAATAAGCAAAGATATTTTTTAAAAAACAATGAAAAGTAATACTTAAATGAGGAATTCTTTGAGATATTGGTCTTAGATTGAATGTAGCGTCACAAATTTCACAAATATAATTTACTATACAATTTTATTCATTTTTTTAAAATGGCTGACGACAGTCTGTATCAACTAACTCAACTAGTCAAGCATAATGATTATTCTTCGGATTCATTAAATCAACTTTATCAATGCATAAGTACAATGACAGAAAGATCAATTGGATGCTTGAATTGGGATAAATTTTTCAAAAAAATCACAGTGACTGATGAAGTTCTTTTACATTTTTTAGCATCCGTTTTAAACATTGAAAAGATATCAGAATGTTTCAAGGATTCTATTTTTTATCACAATATTAATCTTGAAAAATTCAGTAATTTAACTGAAACAGAACAACAAACAATTTTAAATTCCTACAAAGCGGATAAATTTACATATTACATAATGTGCTCACAAATTGTAAAATCAAACTGGAACAATTTATCCCAAACTTTAGTTAATATTGCAAATCAATATTTGCCATTTTTAGATGAAGAAAAGCAAATATATATATTTACTGAAATAACTGGCAATTATCAAAATTTTGAAATTTCAGTTGCAAACTTGTTACTTTTTTATGAAAACAATGAAGAAAAATTAAGCAACTGTTTTAATTTAACATTGTTCCAGCAAATTTATTCCAAAAATGGAATCGAGCAAATGATATTTTTTGCTGCAAATACAATTTGTTGCAATAACACTTCTATCAATTTTTACAATCTCCTTGAAATTGAAGAAATGAATCCATTTGATTTTTTTTATTTCTCAATTCAATATAAAGAGATATTAAATTGCGATGATTTTCCAAAAGTTACAGAAGTAATCACAGGTTTAATCTCAGCTTCAAATATTAATGCTATTATGCGAATTTGCCAAAAAATTTTGGATAAAATTACATTTTATAAATGTAATTATTGCCATATTACCTCAATATGGAATTTTATCACAAATGCAGCAATAATTCTTCCTGATGAAGATTTATTAATCAAATTATTAAAATTCATAGAAAAAACAGAAAAAGCAACAGATGAATTATTCGAACCGGAGAATGATTTGGGTTTCTATGAATATTTAAATTCGATTTTCTCAGATATTACATCTGCGAGAAATAAGCAATTTCTCTTGGAATTTCTAAATACCCATGAAGATGACTTCACTTATGATCAAACATTGTGAGGTCATTTTTGATCAACAAATTAATTGAAATTCCGATCAAAAAAAATTCACAAATTGGATCAAAAAAATCGAATCTCAAGTTAAAAATAAAAAATTTCTACATTTTTATCAAATTTAGATTTTTTTTTTCAAATCATGCGAATTGATTGAATAATTGCATATTTTATCCCATGCATCTAGAAGTATGTGTAATATTTTTGCTTTCATCAAGAAATTGTCGAATTTGATCTTAATTTTTTTTGAAAAATATACTTTTAGAAAAAGAAATAGTGATTGAATAGCTGCCCATGCTGTAAAAAGGTTATTTTTACAAGTAAAAAAAATTGTTATTTTTCGAGCAAGTCGAGGCTTTTTTACCATCTTATTTTTGAAAAATTTACGAAAAATTATATCTGAAAAAACGCTTCATTTTGATATCTTACAATGATAAAATACCAATGTTGCTGGGATATAATAGCTACACCTGGACATCTACTACATTAATGCGTATGACAGGTAAAGTTGATTTCAAAAGTATAGCCTGGAAAGATTACAATAAATCAACGATAATTCAAAAAAATTTCTTATAAGTTAACATAATAAAAATTTAATTTTTATATTTCTTGTAGTATACTTAAGTATATAATATATTTAAATCTTAGAATGAAAATTCGGGACGCCCTAGCTATTCAATTTTCCCTTAGGACGCCCATAAACCTCTCAAAAATGTGATGTAAATATCACAATTTTGAGAAATTTACACTAGGACGCCTTAGGACGCCAACCCCCTTTTTTACCTCAAAAAATTAGATGAACCTTGGCAATTAAACTTTATTAAATAATAGTTGTTTATAAATTATATTATATTATTATTTAATATTATTTTGATAATGAAGATTTTATTTTGCAAAAATATAAACGAAATTTTTTACCTTATGAACTTTTGATGGAAATATGCAAATTTAAAATAATAAAGAAAGCCGCGAGCGAAGCGATCGGCTTAGTTCGAAGATTTTGATTCAAATCTTTGCTGATCTGTAATTCGCGGAAGCCGCGAGCGAATCGAGCGGCTTAGGTCTAAGATTTTGATTCAAATCTTTGCTTATATTCCTTAAATTCTTTATGAAACTCGCAACAGTTCCATAAAAAATTTTAAATTCTAAACTGTCGAAATTACCGATCGGTAATCACACCCTTCACGGGTGTGTCACTTTTAGCTAAAATTACCCCTACTCGATTTTTTTAGCTTTTGGAGATGTTAATCTTAATAGCATTGTTTGGATTGATTTCTGTAGTTAGTGCTTTTACTAGATTAACATATACTTCCGAATTTTTAAAGATTGCACATAAAACAATAAAAGTTTTAATTTCATTATTAAATACTAACAAAGATTTCACACTCATCCATTTAAAATTATTTAATTCGCTTAAGTTAAATACAGTCACTATCCAATATGCACAAGTTCTTGAAAGGTTTTCAGTAAACCAAATCGAAACGGGAATTAATATTTTCGATACAACATTCATGAGCTGCCAAGCGTCAAATGATCCAAATAACGCAAATGGCGGTGGAATATATGTAAATAGCTTACACATTCCCTATTCTACGTTAACGATGCGCCACGTTTGTTTCCACAACTGCCATGCAGCAGGAAGTGGTGGTTGCACATATGTACTCGTAAATATACTTCTACAATCTTACGTTTTAGCAAAAAATTCATACGCACTTTCAAACCAAGCATTCTCTTTATATTCTACATTCGGAAGTATCAATTATACGACAGCCTGCGAATGTGGCATACAACCATCAAAATACGAAGTCCAGAATACTGTTGGAATTGGAGGAGGGTTCTCCAGCTTCAATCTCAACAACATATCAAATAATAAATTCGATGGCCCATCATGTATCATCAATATTTACTGCCAGGATGGCTTTAACGCATCAGAATGCATTTTTTCAAAAAACGAAGGAATCAGCGGAATTTCGTGTGATAACATTAATCGGAAGATCTTTATCTTTGACTCATATATTTACCAAAACCACTTCCAAAACGGCACAACTATTTGCTCAAAATGTCCAACAATCTTTGATAGGTGCTGGATTGAAGTTTACGAAGATGAAATTGTCGATCATAATACAGAAGAACTTGTTATGTTTCTTAGTTGCATCTTCAATGCTAAAGAAGAAGAAGTCGGAAAATTCATCAAAAGTTCACAATTAATTAACTGCAAATTCAATTCACATAATCTCCCAGTTATCTTTTATATCCCAAGAAAGTGTTGGGATAGAATTGATGATGCAAAACCAGCTCAAAAAGTCAATAAAATCAAACTTCGCCATTATTTGCTATCATTCTTTGCATTTGTCACTGGTGCATGCATCGTATCTATTGTCCAATTTATTTTGGTCAATAAACGTGCTAAAGAAAGACGAATTCGCGTTTTTCGTCAAGTTGTTTAATTTTCTTTGTTTTTTTGTTCATATATGCCTAAATTATGTTTGTTTTTATTCTTTATTATAATGCAAAACGAATATTTTATTCTTTATCTCATAATCAAAATCAAACACATTATTATGAGATAATACTATTGAAATAAATGTTAACATTGATTCTGTAAATGGTAAGAAATATAATGAAATCATTTATTATAAGACTTGACATAAGATTTAACTCATCATGATAGTTAATCATCTTCTGCAGTATTTAGGTATTTAAAAGTTATGTGCCTATCAACATGACTTTTTACATCATAAAAAGATGAATGATGCCATTTTTGCAGAAGTCCATTATCAATGAACTGTATATCATAAGAAATGATAAGATTGTATTTATTTGTAATAGCAAGATATACTGTTCTGAACTCGGACAAAGTATCAGCTACAAGAATGAGAAACTACTGATTCAGTTTCAGTTGTTCTATTTTCTCAATTCCGAAACAATTGTTTTTGATAAAGTTGAATTTTCTTTCATAACAATATCTTAAGTATGGATATTATTATAGTCAGATTGCAGTGAGTACACCATATAAAAATATAACTTGTGTAAAAAAGATGTAATCTTATATTTACGGGTTAGATATTAAAACAACAAAAAACTCACCAATGATGTCATCTCTATAGAAACATTCTTTCAATGAACACTTGATATCTTTGGTATTAGTATTTAAAAATATAAAGAATAAATCACAAAGATATGCATGATAAATATCTAGAGAGTTATATTTAGATGTCTTCTGATTATTTTCATTTCTATCATATATAGATTCATAAATTGTTAAATTATCATAGAAAGAATTTATAACAGTGAAAGAAGAGAGATCATAACAATACAATGTATATCCATTTCCAAAATTTCCTAACAATGAGCATCCATTTAATGTTGCATCGCCATATACAGCTACAATCCCACAACCTCGTAAACAAAAATTATTCAAAATATTACAATATTCAACCTTAAAATTACCATTATATAAGCCAATTATAGAAGATGTTGAAGCGTTATTACTTTCAATGGTAGAATAATTCAGATTCTGATATTTTGAATCTCCGAAGCATAATCCTGCATCATTTGAAGCAATATTTTTACTTATATTTGTAGATGAAATTCTCATATTTGCACATTTATGATTGAAAAGATTTGAACTGCTTGAATTACCACAATCACATGCAGAACTTTCATCTACAAAGTTTAAACAGTCTGATGTAAAATTTTTCAAATTACAAATTGAATGATGACCTTCAGAAGAAGCAGAACATTTATACGAACAAAATCTATGTTGAACAATAGAGCACTCACATTTTTCGATATATACAGCAGCTCCTTTTTCCGAATTACAGCTATCAAAGAAACACCCAGAATGCAGGATTTTAGCATAAGTTGAATTAATATTAATAACAGATGCAATATAATGTCGAAACATACATTGGAACAGGAATACTTCATTATTTGAAAGAGAAAATTGTGGATTTTTCGTATTAGTAATATTGTTTTTGTATTCTCCTTCAAAATATAAGTTCCAGACATCTTTGGGAGCGAAATCCTTATGGACGATCCAACTATGTTCATACGATTCAATTTGCAGGGAGCTTATCTTTTTGTTTGCCCAAATCGGGCATTCAAAAAATTCATGTCACGTTTTTGAACTCAATTTTTTGATCCGAATGGATATCGTTTTTGGTTATTACGATTACTTGATACATATCAAGATTAATTGGTATTAAAAATTGGAATGTATATTTTCCATGTTGAAGTAGTTTTTCATAGATCCAAAATGCATTGAAAAGCATCGTATGTTTTTATATTCAATGTTTACATATCATAATAATGAATAGCCTACGAATAGTGCTATTGCAATTAAAGCTACTTCTCACTGAACACTTGATATTCTTTTTTATATTCATGATATTGATGCACATTGGATACAAAGCAGGGCACATAAATGCGTAATTTTTACTTATATTCGTAGATGAAAATCTAATTTTCCCAGCATAATGGTTAAAATTTTCATATCCTCGCAAAGCACCACATTCACATGCAGAACTTTCTTCCACATAATTTAAGCATTCAGTATTTAAATTTCCCAAATGACAACGAGAATGTTGTCCAGAATATCCAACAGAACAGTTATGGAAACAAAATCTATGCTGAATAATAGAACATTCAGCACCATTAATATAAGAAGAGGCGCCATACATTTCAGAATGGCAACTATCAAAAAAACATTCAGAGTGCAAGATTTTTGCGCTAGTTTTTCTAAAATTAATAACTGTATCAATATGGTAACAAAATATGCATTCAAACACGAACAATTCATTGTTTGAAAGAAAAAGATTAGGATTGTATTCATTATTAATAATGTTATTGAATTCATATTCAAAATATAAGTTCCAGACATCTTTTTGAGCATTGTCCTTATGAAAAATTCCAAATAAGTTCATATTATTAAGTGGTTTTAAAGAAATTCTTTTGATTGCCCCAAATGGGCAATCAATAAATTTGTGCAGTTTTTTTATTTCAAAATCTCACAGCAATTTTTTGAGATGTTAAATCTCACTTAACAGGAATTTGATATAGACTCATTGAATTTATTGCAAGACTATGATAAACGAGCTTCATAAGACATTAGATTTGAAACAAACATCATTTAGTAAATATTTTTATTCCGTGAAGTTAAAACAACAATCTATATATTAATAAAAAACAAAATTAATAAAAAATAGAGTTAAGATGACAAATATAAAGATAAATATTTGACATTAGATTCAATTTTCGAGTGTAAATCAGAGAAGTTAATCATTTGTCCTCCTGCTGATTTGAAGAATTCTAAAACAGATGAATCTTTCAACATGTCTTTGACATCATAAAGAGATGACAAAGTATTAATGATTGTAATTGATTGAGCCAATATTTCTGGATATTGCATTTCAGGTTGTGAAATTGTGTCCAATAGACAATAAACTAATATTCTGGAGAAACTCTTAACAACAGACAAATCAATAGCATTGAACAAATCTAATACATAAAGAACAATCAAAGGATCTTCTTTCGGACTGATAAATGGCAAGATATTATGTTGCAAATCTGATGCTTGAAATGCTTCAGGAGATGATCTCGCAATCGCAATCATTGTTTGCAAAACTGTTGGTTTAGAGTTCATAGAATCAACTAAATCTTGCATCAAACATGAAACAATTAACGATGCCTGTGGAACTTTGATAGAAAACTTTGCCATGTTGATTAAAATAGTCATACAAAGACTTAAATCTGTACAATTAGGAGATAAAAAGTATTGTACATATATAGGTAAAATTCCGAAATCAGAAATAACAGCATTACCTGTTTTATGAGTACTTAATGATCCAATGACTCTCAATGCACAATTTGCGTAATTCAAGTCATTCAAAGCATTTATTAACAGTTTTAGTGCTCCTTCTGTGATCAATGGTGTTTCCTTTGTGAACTCTTCTGATTGGAAAAGTGCAGAAAAGATCATTAATCTTTGTAATTCGTGTCCTTTCATTTGCAAAATGTCATTTAAAATAGGATGTTTCGAAATCATGTGAGGAACATTAGGAGAAGTACTTAATACATAGAACATCATTAATGCGGAATCTTGTGCACATTCCATATTCAATAAATGCTCTAAATCATCGAAAACAGTTTGATCTTCAACAATTTTATCAATGTCACTTTTCTTCATCATTGTCAATATTTTTGCAATTACAGAATGAGTTCTTGGCGATTTCAAGAAAGCCCTGAACAATATCTGTATGTGTTCAGCTCCTACCCTGTCAACAATGAATGTTTGGAACTCAGCGGGAATAACAAAAATTCCACTCAAAAGTGAAATGAAAAGTGACGAATCTTTCAAATCTTCCAAAATCACAGGAACAATTTGTACAATTGCGTTTACAGTTTCTTGGCTCCTGATGTTTTCTATAGAAGACTTATTCAAGAATTCGGATATTTCTGTATGATATTTCTTAGTTGTTTCTGTTCCGAACTTAGATAACAATCTTATAGCAAGAAATCCTGATTCTTGATCATTACTATTAAAAGATTTAATCGATTCTTCAATGAAGAAATCGAATTTTGATAATAATCTTTCAGGAACTTTAAGAATAAACTTAATAGCATAACAAAGTTGTTCTTCATTCAAAGTCTTGATCGTTTCTATTGCTTTGTCAACATATTTATCATACATGTCATCAGATAAAAGATGAGAAGCAAGAAGAAGTCTTCTTTCCGGATGTTCTGAATCGGAATCATATGAATCAAGTATTTCTTCGCCAATTAAGAAATCTCGTGTTTCATTACTCATGTCTTTTGTAATGAAATCAACAACAGAACATAAATTTTTGTTCGATGGATTATGTAAAACAGAAGAAATGTATTTCAAGTTCAAAGGAGGTTCATCGGATTCCGCTTTCAACATCTGCGGATTTGTTATTGGCTCTTTATCATTGAAAGTGATCATTCCTGTCTCAAACAATTTGACAATCTCTTTAAATTGTGGTCTTTCTGATGGATTCGCGGCCCAACAATTAACAATCAGTCTTCTGAGGCCATCTGTTATATTTTTAGGTATCTTTAATCTCAAACCTCTGTGAACTACGTGATCTATGATCTCTGCTTGCGTTTTTTCTCGGAAAGGAATTAAATTCGTCGCCATTTCCCATAAAATTACACCATATGAGTAAACATCAACGAGTTCATTGTACTTTTTGTGTCCTAGGACTTCTGGGGCTGTATAATTTGGTGTTCCGACACTTCCTGTTAATTCTTTTGATTTCGGAGTAATTACACCACAAAGACCGAAGTCTGCGATGATTGCTGCATCGTGGTTGTCAAGAAGTATATTAAGAGTCTTTAAATCTCGATGGACAACGCCTTGTGAGTGTAAATGTTCTAATCCTTTTGCCATTTGATAGGCGAGCCTTGTTTTCTGCATAGTTGTAAGAGGCTTGCCTTGTGGCCTATGTAATCTATCGAATAATGATTGTCCTGGACAGAATCGAGTGATAATTTGATATGGTCGACGATTGTAGATTCCTGTAAGCTCAATAACGTGGCGATGCTTTAGTTTCGACATAACCATGATTTCTGAGAACAGAGAGCTAAGACCTCCGGTTGTAATTTTGTCAGGCTTAATTTCTTTCACGGCCATGTATTCGCCTGTTGAGTAGCGAGTGCCTAAAAATACTGTACCAAAACCACCGTTGCCAATTTTAGTCTCTATTTTCATATCGTCTGGTGTAATGTTGATATCTTTAAATTGATCAAGAGCTTCTTCTAATTTGTCAGTAATAGAAGTACTTTCAATAGGACTACTCGGAGTATCTTTCGGTACCGTGGTATGACGACGCTTTTTCGGAAGATCTTGTCGAATAGAATATAATCTTTCTTCAATTAACTGCATGATGTCTACCGCATTGGTAGCACTTAATGAATTGGAACGCATGTCTAATAGCTGATCTTTATAAAATGATAAATCGGATATTTTGTTGGCAAGATTTTGGTTTTCGTTATAGCCAATTATTGTTTCTGTATCAAATTCGAGCATTCCACACATTTCATTTAGCAACTTACGAATCTTTTCAATATCATCCATAACTTGCGAGCATTTTTTAGTTATCAAGATTTCTTTCCATTTCGGCCCAGTAAGTGCAATCAAGTCATTAACTTGATTCATCGTAAGACAATAACGCCCAAGAACACGTTGGGATATCTTATTATCGCCGCTTTTCTTTAGGTTTTGCATTCCATTTAAAAACGATTTTATATGTTGCAACAAATATGCAATGGAAGCACGAAACATAACGCATCCTTGAGCATTTGTAAATACTTCTGTTGTTACTTGTACACATTGTTGAAATAAAGCTTCTTGTTCATTGTCTTCCATCTTTAATTTGAATTCAAGAATTTTTGTCAAATCAATGATTTTTTGTTCTTATTCAGAAATAGAAATTCCGTATAGTTGCGTTGTCTCTAAAAGAACTTTCACGCGATTGAAAAAAATTGAGAGCAAAAACAAAAGTAAAGACGAGTTAAAGTAAAAATTGCATATCAAAAACACATATATGGAAAAATCGATTTAAACTAAGGGTTTCGTTTTGCGAAAAAAACGTACAATACGCAATTTCGCTAAAAAAACATTGAGCTAGCAATTTCGACCTTTGACTCCACTCAAGACGTCACTTTTTTTAATTTTGCGGTATCATATTTTTGGAAAATCTTTATGAATATTATATAAAAAGTCTCTTTAATATCTATATTTCATATTTTTATCGATTTTTAAAGTTTTTGCGAAAAGTATTCAATTATTTTTGCTATTTGGTCGGGTAAATGTCGGATTTGCGACATTTTCTGATATGATATTCAGATTCTACGTTGATAATAATGCTTATAGAACCCTCTTGCTATTGTGTCAAAATTGCGAAACCGATAGCAAAAATATCTCGCAATATCAAAATTGAGATATTGAGTGAATTATGCATTATAGAGATTAAAAATCTGATTTGTGAAAACATCTCATCAGTTTCTAGCTAATTCAAAAATCTTTACTATCTTATTCGATTAAAATGAAAAGGGAATAGTTTCATTATGCTTTAAATGACAGCCTTATGATATAATCATAGTTTTCGCTCAATATGCAGCATTTTTTTCGAAATCTATGGTCAATATCCTAAATACTGATTGCTTTGCATTCATATCTCTTACATTTTCTATACCCACATCACTATTCATTGCTATTCCTATCTTTTTCATTTTTGTTTGTTTCTCATAATTTCTCAAAAAACACGATAACTTGATATTTGTAAAGATCATACTTTATAACGTAAATAAGAACTTGACCTATTAAGAAAAGCAGTAATGAAAAGAAAATCTGAAATTCATAAAAATTACAAGTTTCTGATGACAATTAGCTTAATTAAACCAGGTACAAGATTATATAATTGTATTTTCTATCCAATTATCCATATAATATCTTATCCAGAAAAAATAACTTGATAGTAGTAGGATATGAAGGGTTGTGTGACTTTTTTTGTAAACGTAAGAATTCATGCAATATCGAGCGATTTTGTATCATTTTTTTTAACATATGAAGTAAAAAATGTATGATTCTGACGGTTTTTATTCTTACGTTTTTGAATAAATCAAGATTTAAAAAATTTTCAAAATTGTAAGACATTTACACTCAGCCCATACATAATGAAATAAAAAATAAATCATTAAAAAATTAACATTAATTTTAAAATAATTTTTTTTATCTTTTATAAAAGAAGCTATATATAGATGATGTCAGATATTCCGCGATTAATTAAACATTGTTTAAATCCTGAATGGAATCAATGGAGTCATAATCAAAGACCTCATATACGAGTAAAAGAAATTAGAAATCATTATTTTCATGAATAAAAGATTCACTACCATAATGAAATAAAAAAATAAAAAAATTTTTAAAAAATAAACTTTAAAAATTCATGTCTCAGAATCAACATTGAACTTTAAGAAACTAATGATTATTTGAATTTATGAAATCAATTATTTGATTCATTCTTTCTTCAATCTCTTCTATTCTTTTTGTTAAATCATCAATTTTCATTAATGAGGTGATTCTTGATTGAGGAATAGATTTCAAACTAACCACCCCCTTTATTTTTGAAATTTTGAATCCATCAACTTTAAACATTTTATTCAATTTACATGTTGTCAATTCTTCAAATAATTTTTTATTATTAGCATAATAGTCATTAAATTCTTCAACAGATGAAAAAATTTTTATTTCAGTAATTGGTTTAACAACGTTTATTTTTTGTTGAACATTTTCACTTTCATTTATTTCTTCCTCCTCTGTTTCATTTATTTTTAAAATCGGTTTCATTTATCATTAAATAAAAATTAGAATATAAGTGATGAAATATATTTTTTTAATTAATATTAAATCAGAAATGGCGGCAGGATTCTTTAAAAAAATATGGGATGGAATTAAGAAAGCTGCGGGTTGGGTTTATAAAAAGATTATTAAACCCGTTGCAAACTTTTTGGCACCAGTAGCGAAAACGGCAGGAACTATCATAGGTGGAGTATTAGGTACTAAAGCGGGTAATCCGGCGATGGGAGCACAAGCAGGTAACGCAATTGGTGGAATAGCTGAAGGAATACTTAATAAAATAGGAGGTAGATAGTGGAAAAATAAATAAATATTATTTTTATCTTAGTATCGGTTGTAGTCTTTGATAAACTTTTTCTCCTTTATTTAAAACTTCTCTTATTGGGGCAGCTTTTGGTGTTATTGATTCAGCAACGTCACTAATTGCTTCTTTATTCTTAAATATCCAATTTGCTCCCTTCTTCATTGTTTCCCAAACTTTATGCGCTCCTCTTTTTACTTTATCCCATAATTTTTTAAAGAATCCTGCAGCCATAGTTGATTATTTCATTAAAATTAAAAATTCATTTTCATCTTTTAATTTTGATTTTTTATTTATTAATAAATGACGACTAACTATTTGGTGCCAAACACTAAACCGATTAATGGAAATGTGTTTCATTCATTCGAAAAGATAAATGAAATATTCGCAAAGAATGACGGTAGAAGATATTATAGAGAACTTGAAAGTTCATGCTATGACTCTGATGCTCCATATTTTGATGATAAACAAACTCATTTAAGAATTACAAATCCAGCTCATGATGTGAATCAATTAGGTGACACATATATTAAACGCAAAGTTAAAGCAACTCTAGTTTCAAATAAAGCTTTCACATGTGATGCCGCTTTTAAATGCATGCGTTTATTCGTTGGTTACAAATCATCAAATCAAAGCTTTAAACAATTAGAAGTAGAAACTGAAAGAGGTGATGCCGGTTATCTTCAGATGGATTGCGCCCGTGAATCTTTCGCATTTGCAACATATAAACCAAAATCAGAAAGGAAAGTTAAAAAGTTTGTTCATTCGTTATATAATAATGTTCAAAAATATGATAACTCAGTATGTGGTAAATATATTGACCCTTCAGAAGTTTTCAAGAAAGCAAATGAAGAAGTTGATGTCACTTTTGATATGATTATTCCAGTAAATGATTTGTTAGCATTTCAGGCGTTCGATGATTATCCTAAATCATTTGGTGATATCATTCTTAAATATTATGTTTTCAGGGATACTTTAGTATTTTGTCAGGTTGACCCGTTAAGAGTTGCTGATTTACAAAATTACGTTTATGAAAAGATAACTGATGAAAATTATGAAAAGATTATGAATCATGTTTATAAATATGATCGCAAATTCCAACAAATCGGACTTCCTGCCAAATTAATTACAAGCTTAGCCGCTACAACTGCTGACGCAACAGTTGATGACGTTATTATTTCATGCACAAAGATGGAAGTTTTAGAGGATAAATGCATTACACCAGGATACGGTTTAATTGAAGAATCAGTTAAAGCAATACCACGTTTATTCAGTAAGGAAGATCCATTCATGATTCCAGCTCAACATATTGACGTTCGTTCACTAAATGGAGGTTGCATCACTCCTGAAGGTATCAGCTCAGATTTCTCATACGCTCTTCATAATGTTACAGATGTTGTGTTAACATTTCCGAAGAATGCAATGCAAAGAACAGTTTTAGAAAATCCAATGCTTCGAGGTCTTCAGGTCACTATAGATTCCAGAAACTTCCCCGATCAAGCGATGACCACAGTGGGCGACATATTCTTTACACGTATGCTTCAAGCTTCTGATTTAGATGGAGTGAATGAATGCACAGAAGAATACGAGGACTCATTAACTAGACCACTGAATGATGATAATGGCACGCCATTAGCTAGAACATGGAAAGACCAAACTTCATTCTTATGCACTATTCCAGTTCAACGTGATGGAGCGGGTATATTCTTTGATGGATTAGAAACTTTCAACTCACAAGTTACAGTACAAGTGAAAGCTTATCCAATCATTCAGGGTGAAAATGACACTTACTGTTCAAAGGTGACAAATCCTCCTCAGGTTTGGTTTACTAGGACTACATATTGGACATGGACACCAGATGAAGGTTTGAAATATCATCCAACAGGTACACCACCACAGTATAGAAATTCATATGATGAAATATTGATGAATAGAAATGTTTAAAATTATAAATTTATTTTTGATTAAATGGATTTAAATTCATCCACCCCTTATGAAGAATTAGCGGGAGTATATAATACATACGTAGATGATATGATTAATGAAGCATTGAGTGATAATAGAAATGCTCTATCTAAGGAAAAATTAATGAAAATTCCATATTCTGAATGTTACTTAAATTCAATCACTGCAGCAATTGGTAAACAAAATAAAGGTAAAACATTAACGATATTAAAACAAATTATCATTATTGCTAACACTTCCCCCTATTCACATGTGTTAATTTATATCAACCGTTCAGGTTCACCTTCAGATGATACATTTGAATCTTTAAAGCATTTAATCAAAATTCCAATTATTTATTTATCACAAGAAGAAGCAGAAGATTATTTAAAAAACTTTTTAATGTATAAAGAATTATATAATACAATCAAGAAGCAAGGATTAGAGGATAAAATTATTGATAAACAACGGGATGAATTATTTGAAACACTTTCTATTTCAAATTTTGATAGAGAATTTTTGCATTCACTCATTTTTCTAGATGATGCAGTGAAATCAAAACTAATAACAAATGAGAAATCATATTTTAATCAGTTATTAACTCAATGTCGACACATTCAGGGTTCATTCTTCATGGCTGTTCAATATTTCAAAGCATTAAGCACAAACATTAAATCAAATCTATCAACACTTTTCATTTTCAGTGGGTTTAGTCGTCAACAGTTGAACGTTATGCTTTATCAAGTGAATTTACCAATGAGCA